AAAAAAAAAAAACTGCTATAGAGTGCTGAACACAGTTTCTACCATCTAGGAATTTCTGATCAAACATAGATTTCTGATCAAACGTTTGTAGAATATAAATGAATTATCTGCCCAGCATCCAGCACAGGTACAGGCAGAGTGCTCAATAAAGATTTGCTATTATGTGACTATCCTCCATTATCCAGAAACTGTGCTATTCATCCATGTTATTCCAAGATGAGGGAACTGAAGGTTATAGCCACAAACAATACCCAGAACAAAACATGAATAATGTAGCTTTGTGGTTACCTTTGTTTTGACCAAGAGCATTATGTAATGTGTCAGAGCGATTCTTTGTGTGTAATTCTGTCATCTCTTTAATGACCCAAAAGAAAGAAAATAATTTGAATAAAAGTTTCTTGTGGTTGAAAGAGGAATGAAACATTTAGAAAATGCAGTTATGAACGGGACCATGGGCTGGGATGAAGACCAGAGCATCAGCATCACCTGGGTGCTTGGCTTGGTAAGGCTGTAAACCTTATAATTTGAGAGTAAGAAAGGAGTAAATAATATAACTCGGGCGGGAGTGCAGTTTAAAAAGGGTTTTCCAGCATGTAGGAGGCCGCCGCCCTCTTACTTTTCCCAGTATTTCGTGGTGGCATACCTAAAATTGTTTTATCTGAAGGTCAAATTTAACCAGGCCAGTTGTACTTTTATTTGTTCACTCGGGCAGACCTGGGTGGCGGCTTCCGGCGCCCGGGAACCCCCAAACAGGGATCCCGCCCCGCCCGGGTCAAATTCCTGGCCGGGCGCCGAGCGGCGCGGGAATGCGGAAGGGCCGCGGGAATCCGCCACGGAACGCGGGGGAGAGGGCGGGACGCGGCGCTCCAGCCGCGCCGCAGGCGGTGATTCCGCCACAGATCAGCCAGGCTACGGAGGCCATCTAAAACCCCGGCCGTATTCGTACACCTGAGCCCCTCTCCCCAGCGGACACGGCGGGGTTTCCTCCAGCCTGAGCGGGAACGACGGCCGCGTTCCCCTGTTCAGAGTTGGATCCCGCCGCGCCTTCCGGCGCGTTTTCCGGTCCGCCTGCCGAGGCAGGAAGTGCCGGGCGCCGCCTCTGTAGCGCCACAGCCCAAGCGCTCGTCGCGGTTGCTCGTCGTCCTGTGCAGGGCATCCCGGGTTCTAGTGTCTGGCGACGGTGAGTGGCGCTGGACCCTGCGCGTGACACCCCTGGGGCCCCATCCGACCCCCCTCCCCTCCCGCCGCGCGCCCTCGGCCAGACCCCGCCCCAGGCGGCCGGGAACGGGAGGGCCGCGGGCTGCGTCAGTTGTCAGGGTGGGCGAGGAGGGCCTGTGAGGAGGCCTGGACGGAAGGAAGCTACATGGCTGATGAAGCCGACCTGGGGAAATGCCCGGCTGGAGAGGTGGCCGGATCCCCGGCCCTCCGTCACCCGGATGATTTCACACCCGGTGCTGCGACCGCCCGGTGCCCTGGTTGCCAGTCCCTGCCCTCGCGGCACAGTCCATCGATTCGTGTGTGAGCACCTGCTCTGTGCCGCACACAGCGCTGACGCTTTGGGGGATGAGGGAGAGGACTGGTGTAGGATGCTTGCCTTAGATAGTGTCCAAGGAAACTGTTAGAGAAACGGCGCTGGAGTGAGGAGTTCGTATAGGCTAAAATGTAATGATTTCCATAGGAGTTGTCTTTCTGTGTCTTGATCTTGCAAAGATTTAGTAAGTTCGTGTTGACTTGAAGAAAAGGATGAATAAAAATCAAGAAAGCTTTCCGGAAAAATGAATCGTGACCTCATTGAAAGCCTTGGATTCAGCCCTAGAAGGGAGAACTTAGTATTTCTGGCTGGATCTGTGGTAGGAGGTGACAAGACAAAAGGCAAAAGATGGGAATTTGTGTCATGTGAAAAGGAGAGGGTGGGAAGACCAGCCAACTATAATGAATAATAGTTGGAAATAAGGGTATGTAAATAAATGGGGCCTTTGTTTGGATGTTTTGAAAACTTGAGAAATAAAAGAATATTTAATAGGTATTAGGGAGTCATTTTGGATTCTTCGCCAAGGAAGAAATATGGAAAAAGGGTTGTTTAAAAGACTAGTTTGTCAGCCTTTGTTTAAGATGGAATTGCGTTGGACCTTTGGTAAAAAAAGAATCATAGCATTTTAGAATTCAAAAGAAACTTATAGATTATCTTTCATTTTATAATTGAGGAAACTGAAACCTGGAGAGGTGAGATAATTTATTTGCCTAAGGTCACTTGGAGTCACATGGTGCCACCCATTTTCTCTGTAAGCGTTAGGTGGACCCTCCTGGACCTCATAGCAAAGTACATGGCTTCTTGTTTGTTCAGGCTCTGTTGAATGACAACTTTTATGACAGCCAAGTAGATACTCTTTTACATTTTAATGAGACTGAGTTTAGACAATATGAACTGTGACTTTTGAAGGACAGATCCCCAGGTCAGGGTTGCTGAGGTTAGGAAAAATAAGGAGCCTCTAAATGAGGCTGGTTATTCCTCGCTCCCAAGATTCAAAGACACCAGATATCTAGGGATGATTTTCATTGCCAGCAACTCTGATTGGGATCTTCCTTCCTTGTTTTACTCTTTAGCTGTGCAGTGGCATTGCTTGTTACTCCCAGCTGGGTATCCACAATTTCACTGTAGAGAATTTCATTCAGCTGCCTATATGTAGGATATTAGGGATTAGTAGCACAAACTCTGGAACTAGACTTCCTCATTGCAGATCCTGGATCTAAGGTCTATCCTTATTTAGTTGTGGCCGCAGACAAATTGTTTATTCTCTTTGTCCTGATTTTCACATTTAACAAGTGGAGTTAATAACAGTTCCTATATCGTAAGTTGTGAGTATTAAGCATGTGAAGTACTTAGACCAGTGCCTAGCACATATTTAGCACTCAATTATTGGCTATTCTGTTTCTTCTAGGTATGGAACAAGGGGTGGCTGGTAATTTTGTTAAGGATCTCTTAAGGAAACATTCAGTGGAGTTTATGGTAAACCATGGGTAGACCATAGAGAAAAGCCTTGTTTTGGGAATCAGATCCAGGACCTTATCATGAGCATCTGTCTATGTAATTCTGTTTCCGAGAGGAAGGAGGCATACACGTGTTTTCGCTTAACTAATTAGTATTTTTTTGAGCACCTACCGTATATAAGGCACTCTACTAGGCCCAGCATTCCAAAGCAGAAAGGCTAAATGCCATAAAATGTATATGTAAGTGGCATGGCAATGAGATACTACTTGGCAGTAAAAAAAGAATGAACCACTGATAAACTCAACAAGATAGATGGATCTCAGAAACATTGTATTAATGAAAGAAGTCAGTCACATAGAATATACACTGTATAATTCCATTTATAAGAAGTTCAAAGACAAAACTAATCTGTGCTGATAGAAATCTGTGCAATGGTTGCCTATGAGAGAGGATGATTGACTTGGAGGGAACTTTCTGGAGTGATGTTAACATTTGTAACTTGATTGGGATGGTGGTTACATGGGTATACCCATTTACAAAAAGTCATTTTAAGATCTGTACATTTCACCATATATAAATTTCATTGCAATAAAACAAAATAATGCAGTCGTTCAAAGGATGGAAAGTTTACTGCCAACTGGGAAGATCATAAACCCATAATGAAGAAATTACAGGGCCCAGGGCTCTCTCCTAGCACTTAGTGTATCAAATAAAGTATGCTGATTCCTGGGGGAAGGAGGCAGGGGGCGGGGATGACAGCATTTTATTTTATAATGTCTGTGGTAAATATTAAAATACATATACTATGGGAAAATTTTAACTGATGTTAAGAGAAAAGCTGTAAAAGTTGAGTTGTGCTCTATAAAAGAAATAATAGATATAATTTATGAAATTGATTACATATTTGCCTAAATATGCAGCATAAAAGCAACCATACATCATTAAGTATATGAGGTTAATTTTGTGGAATATTTTAATTTGATTAAATACTAAATTCTCTTTATGATTGCTGTTTTCAGACTGTTCCTCGTGTATCCAGTCATGTGATCCTCCCAATTAGCACTGACTTAGTCTTGGCTGCGTGAGAATTCCATGAGAAATCTAAATAGACCTTGGTGAAGATGAGAATTGAATTAGAAATGGCCTTAGGTTTTAGCCCAAGAACTGCTCTCTGCTTTTTTGTGTTCATCCACTCTCAGGCCTCACCTTGTGCCTCTGCTCAGAAGTTGACCTTGCTAAAGGAGACCCCTTAAGAGACCTGCCCTGGGTATCTCTTCTACCTACTGTTACTGTAACTTGGCTAAAACTTGAACTGTTTATCATTCCTTTGCTCATAAAACCAGCTCCTCTCCCCTCCTTAATTACCTTATTTTTGAATGGTAACTTTATGCTACCAGTTTTTCAACCAGTGCTTTAAAATTACATTCAAGGACAGAGCTTTGAAGGAAACTCCAGTGAGGAAGCAAGAACTAGCAAATCAGCCAGAAGAATAGGATAGGGGTGATAGGAATGTTGAGGAAGGGGTGACTTTGTTGCAGTTAAAAGAGGAACCCATAGAACTTGGAGAGAAATTGAATAGAAGGAATTAAAATTTTCTAACCAGAAGTAGAAAATACTTTATCCAGTGCAAACTTGACTGTGGCCCCTTTGAGCTTTTTAAAATTCTGTGTTTAGAATTCTGAAATAAAGGCATTGAACCATTTTAATATTAAAGAGACCAAGGAAACACAGCAGCTTTGTTTCCTGTTGCTATCTTAACAAATCACCCAAAACTTAGCACCTTAGAATTCCAGGCAGCTTAGCTGGGTTGTTCTTGGCTCAGGGTCTCATGAGGTTGCAGTTCAGATGTCAGTCAGGTTTATAGCTATTTGAGAGAAGATCGACCTCAGAGATGGCTGGCGAGTTGGTGCTAACAGGAGGACTCAGTTTCCTGCCACATGGACCTTTCCTTAGGGCTATATAGTGCCCTCATGACCATAGTGCTGGCTTCCACTAGATTGAGTGATCCAAGAGAAAGCAAGGCAGAAGCTGCAAAGTCACACCATTATTTTTGCATTATCCCATTGGTTATGAAAGGTAGCAAGCAGAGTGACTGACTGAGTGGCTCAGTTGGTTAAGAGCTCGCTCAAGAGTGTGAGCTCTGAGCAACAGGGTCGCCGGTTCCATTCATGGCCCGAGCTGAGCTGCCAACAGATGGCAGGATGGCTCAGCTGGGAAAAAAAAAAAGAATATGCCACCCCAAAATATGCCACTTTGGCACAAGTATTATTTTGAGCTGAAGGCAATTTAGAATTAGCAGACCCAAAAAAGCTTTCTGCCCTTCCCCTATTTGCATAAGAGCAGGACATAAATTTACAAAGGTGTCCTTTCTCCCCTTTCTACTGGGAACCACAAAGGTTACCCTCTGGAGATAACTTTAGACACTTTTATCCATAAAAAAGGCCCTGACTTAAGTCTACATGACAAGCCTTAACCCTTGTTTATGCACTTTTCCTGGTAACCTTTCATAACTAGCCTTTTCCCCCTCACAAACCTTTCTTTTGTCTTCAGCTGAAGATGATATTTAAGCCTAAGTTCTCAGCCGCCTCTGAAAATTGGCTTTTCCCTGGGTATCCCATGTATACATGAGGTATACATATTAATAAACTTCTTGTTAATCTGTGTAGTATTACAATGATGTCAGCCAAGAACTCAGAAGAGTAAAAGGAAAATTATTTCACGCCCCCCCTACCCTATAGTTTCACAGCTCAACCCTTTTTACTGTTGGTGGGGACTATGCGAGGACATGAGAAATGTTGAGGGCCATCTTGGAGGCTGGTTACCACATAGGCAAGGAACAAGTTCAGCTGCTTTTGGGCCAGGCAGTAACATAAATACAGCTGTGACAGGAAGGTATAGGGAGTAGTGGGGATTGCTCACTGAATACTCATTATCTACAGGAATTTGGGAATGCTGGTCCTTATCTACAATTTTTCAAGATGTCTGATATTTGTTTTTAGTAAATATTCAGTATTTTTAAATGTTGACAAACTAATTCAGTTATTTAGAAAGGCATTTAGAAGGTCATCCTTGGGGGGTACTAAACGAACCTTACTGCAGATTGCATATAGTAGTTTGGTAACTGCCAGGTTGTGACTTCTGATCTATCTAATTTTTTTATTTTATAGATACAAAAAATGTTGCCCAGGAAA